TTAGATAGATATATATACAAATTCTAATGTTGTATGTCTTGATTAATAAGGCCAATTTTTAGCTGTCCACCCACACCGATAATTTGTTGGTATGCCGGGTACTCGTATTGTACTRYGTATTSCTCCTATACCTAAAGTCAGTTTCAGAAATTAACTCTCTTTCGCGAGCTCTATTTTGAACATAACTACTTGAATATCMTCAAAAATTAGCGACTGACAACATTGACGGTGCAACTTATGTGATTTATATGTATACCATAGCTTGTTTACTATATATTTTTCTAGGTAGTTAACTTCATTAAGTTGTAATTTTTTATTTTAACGAATAAGCAAAAAGTACAAAAGTAACGGCAATTGAGTTTCTAAACTTGTTATCACCCTTTTCGGTACTTTTTATCTCAGCAAGTCAACATTAACACTGGCAGGCATGTTAGAAAAAAGGAGCCATTTCTATCGACGAAAAAGTACGTAATGAATTGCCTTTAAGATTGCGAATAAGTGGCTCCAGTGAATATAGTAATTATCGTTGTTCGGTATTATTTATCTCAGCAAGTCAACATCGTAACAGTCACAGCCATATTAGAAAAAAAGGAGCCATTTCTTTCACCGAAAAAGTATGTAATAAATTGCCTTTAAGATTGCTAGCAAGTGTACTTCGGGCAAGCAATATATTGTTACGTTATTACCGGCGTTGTTCGTCACTTTTACTTTCATCTCAGCAAGGCAGCACTTAATATTTTAGCCTCTATGACTTCTGATTGTAAAAAAAAAACTTTTCTTAAAATAATTAGTAGTAGCATTCATAGGTGGACTTTTTCGAGACCCCTCGAGGATGTGTTTTCTTAATTGGACTGATATAATTCATATTGGCTTTTTCCTTTGAAAGTTTATTTTTCCTGTAATGTAATTTCCAGTTCCTTCCATAACTCATTTTCTGGAAATATTGTTCATCGACGCAAGCCTCGTCGTAATTAACTACATGTATATATCAGACTAGATTTGTTAGAATTTAAACTTTGTTGCTAGACAAAACTTAATTAAAAAGTGGAATAAGGTGCATTGAGAAAAACAGCAAAGATCGAACATTAYTGACTTGATAATTAACGATTAATGATAATTAAAATTAACATTTCGAGATAATCAAAACGAAACACTTGACATTTTGAGTTTAAATGTTGTTCTTTCATTTTTYAGTCCAKYCAGCCAAATCTAAGCTGACTTTATCACTTGATTTTGATCCGTCTCACGCTTGGTCTCAATTCCATTTGATATATTCTTTTTAAAATAAAATGATTTAAACGCAAGATATCTGATAAGAATATCTCTCATGAT